AGCAATTTTCTAGACGATTTGTTATTTATAGAAAGTGAGCATTAGAGACAACTTCCAGAATGGTAGTATGAGGAGCTCCATAGAACTGCTTCCTAGTAAAACTATTGAGCCCATGCATTGATTCCATCTCTGCTACCATAGTCACTTAGTTTATGGGCCCAGTAAGCAAGGAATGTGATGGCTAGGAAGAAAGGATGACTGACATCCCCAGAGTTGGTAGTTTTATTCACCTGATCATTAAGAACCTCCTCTGCAGTAATGGTCCTCTGGTAGACATTTAGCATTCACTAATATCTCCACAGTCTGTGCCCATTCTGAAAAGTCCATCCACATACTTCTTCCTTAAGCTCCCTTTTCATCAGCTTTTTTAATATGGATCCTTTCAAATCCTTCACTATTCCAACCAAACCATTTGCAACTACCCATAAGTTAATATAGACCTATATTTCTGGACATTTCTCACTCCAGAGATAGTAGATGACTAAATGTCACACTTGAAGTTCTGATCACTAGGAAGATTTTCTTTTACCACTGTCCTCAGGTTTACCCTTGAGTGAGGGGGGGCTATAGAGCTGCAGCTGCTACTTTCAAGCAATACTAACATATCATGAAGACCACTCTGTAAACCAGGCTCAGGATTTTTCTTCCTCAGTCAACTGGTTCTAAGGAGAGTTCCAGAATGCCATTTTTGCAGGGTTTTTTTCCTGGGACCATTCCTGGTACCAATTCTGTATTGTTTGGGGTCCAGTCAGGAGATAGGACCACATAGTCTTTTGAACAGGGAAAGTTTAATATAAAGCTTTATTAACAGGGGCTTGGAGTAAGGAGGAATTGGCTAGTGAGAGTTAAAAAGAATTCTAAAGAATCCAGGAATAGCAGATATAAGATGTGGTCACTACCCCTAGGGCTGAGATAAGTACCCAAGGAAAAGCCTTCCTTCTATGACTGAGATGCAGATGTCATTGGAAAGAATACCACCTTGGCCTCCTGAATGTTGGAGAAGTCAGTGAAGTAGCTCAATAGTGGGACCTGCTGGAAATCTACCCTCTGGGAGGTGTTGAGCCTCAGAACTTGTTAGGTACCAGGAGAAGCTACTGGACACTGTTGGAACCAGGAGCTGGAGAGGTCCCCCTCTCCAGGAGGTTAATGCACTTCCATGAACAGCTCAGATTGGGTCAGCCCTGGGCTGGCTGTTCAGGACAAAGTTTAGGGGATGGCTGACCTCCAGTGCCCCTGGTGTGTGTCCATGTCCTGGACCGAGGAGAGGATATGGGGTGAAGCAACCTGGGCCGGGGACAGGCCCACAATATCTGGGTCTCTAGACTATGCCTCCGTAGCTGCATGAGTTTGCTCAAACATCATAAAAAGTTGTGCCCTGCTGGAACCTTACACTAGAGAAACTATGCAGGGGCTGAACAAAGAAGAAGAAAAGAGCTTTCTGCAGGACACTAGTAAGAGAGCACATTCGAAACAGGAAAACCCTTCCTCCTCCAGTGTTCTTCCAGGCCTTCTACTGACAAGGCTTAACATCATGCTGGGTAGCAAAGGAGAAATATTTATAAGACCCAGCACAACTATTACAGAGCAGGCAACAAGATCCAATTTGAAGTGAAAAGGCAAAAAAATCAACCATCAGCACAATGATTGTGCTTTTTCATTTTTGGATTTTTGGTTCTTTTTTTGGTAGCATCTTATAGTTATGTTTATTCTTTTTATTTATTAAATAATTTATACTTTTGGCATATTGTTTAAAGTTCTTTGAGGCTATAATCCTTTTAACAGTTTTGTATAGTAATTCTGGCACGTGGTAGATCATTTCCTTCAATGTTTTTCATTTGGATTGTGATCTAATCTGCAGTATAGCTCTGTCCGTAGTGGCTCTGCTAGAAGTGGGTTGAAGAGATTTTGTATTTGCTTGTGCCAGATGTCCCAGGGATATATCGTTCAACCAGGGTCACTTGTATTTTTTTGAATTGTGACTTCCTGAACCATGGTTAGGATTTTGGGATGCTCCGCGGCATGTGGGATCTTCCCGGACCGGGGCACAAACCTGTGTCCCCTGCATCGGCAGGCGGACTCTCAACCACTGCGCCACCAGGGAAGCCCTCTCCTATTTTTTTAAGGCAACATCTATAACACTTTCTTTCAGAGAGCCTTAAATTACTTACCCCTTACTACTTACCTTGGGTAAGTTATTAAACCTCAGCTTGCCACAACTACTCCTGGTCCTTCTGCAGCCACATAATCTGGAGGATGTCATGATTTGTCCTTAATGGAAAAGATACACTGGGTTTGCTTTTCCTGCTCAACAAGTTTCTGCCAGCACATCATCCATGAACTTACTGACTGGTTTATTTCCCATCAGATTTCGCACATAACTTTTTTTTTCTAATCAATTAAATCACCTCCAGCAAAGGAAATAAAGCCATTGGGCAATGCCCATGGGGTGACTTGTCTTATCATGAGTCCCATTACCAGAAACAGCTGACTTTATGGATAGTTGACTGGCACATTAAACACTGTTATGGTCTCAGGAGATCCTACCTGGAAAGTGTGGGAGAGAGGGAGCTTTTTGACAAGATGTATATGCTCAGAACCAAAAATTAATATATGATATTAATCAGAATAAGAGTCCAAAAACCAAGGGACAGGACTGGGTAGGGCTTCTCTTAATATTATACCTGTACTTAAAGTTTTGGACTACGACGATTGAGAGAATATAGCACCCAAATAAGAACGCTTCCATTAAAGAAGCCAGTGATGATCCCATTTAATGGGAATCTGGGACTGTAAGAGAGCACTTACAGCATTAAGTGCAGCAGAACTACAGGAGGAATAGACATATTAGACTTGGAGCTGCACCAATAATGAGTATGTTTGGATTTTCTTCCTTTGGGGAGCTGAGGACTATAGGACTATATTCCCAGGTGTTTGAGGCATAGCTGAACTATATTTAGCAGGAATGGGGAAAAAAAAAGCATGTGAACAAATGTGATTTTAATGTTGGGCGGCCAAAGGAATGAATAATAGTAAGGTTTTTCTTTTTTTCCTTTTTTTTTGGCTGACCGGTATCAATATGGCCTTTCTATGCTTAGAAATCTAATTTGCCTTCAAAATCTCTGTGGGACTTAGCCAGGTGGGTCAAGCAGATCTACCCTTCAGGGTTTTGAAACTAGAATAATTAAAACAGAGAAACAGGACTGTGGGTTCTTTTGTGGTAGTAATAGCAAAGGCAGTTCTCAGAGGCAGCTGTGGTACTGATGTTGGTGTCAGCACCTGGAGTCCAGTGACATCACTGTCAATGGCAGTATGTGGAAGGGGTGTGGCATCTGGTGCTCAGTAATGGTGGCAGCAATGTCTGCGCTATTAGTTCTGTGGCGTGGGTGTGGCTATGATACAAGCTCTGTAGTCTTGGTTTGTTCTGCCCATTTTCTGAGCCTGTCTCTATGCTTTCTGGCAATTCTGTGTGTCACAGTATCCTTCGGAATTTCCTGGTTCAGATGGCAATTCGAAAAACTTGAATCTTCCTGACTAGCCAGAATGAGCTTAGAGAGAAAAAATAGCCTTTTAATAACTTGTATTTTTTGTATACCCTAGCAGAGAGCCTTTTTAAGTGAGTACATCTACTACTGTGGTTTATTAATAAATAATGTGATCCGTAAGCTTAAAATGTTATAATTTACTAAGGAATGTAAGGCATTTACATGAAATAAATACAACCTACAGCATGAAATAAAATTAAATGCTAAATTGGGAACAGACTGTGTCAATCAGAAAGTCTTCCTGAAAGACATGGGATTATAGTTAATTCCTGCAGGACAGGCAGGAGATGGCATTTTGGGTACAGGAACTATAAAGCATAGGAAGGAGCCTGGATATTCACCCCTTAGAGAGACCAGCTTGACTGAATAAGTGTGTTCATGAACTGAAACCAGTATGAACGGTTAAGAGGGAACATATTATTAAGGCCTTGTCCTCTAACTGGAAAGAGAAATTCTCTTACATACGTTTTTTTCCCCCAAAGTTAATAGTTTTAAACATCAGGCTAAACACTTTGCCAAGAGAGGTTTTGGAAATCAAGTCTAGCCTCTTCTCTATGTGCAAAGTTCTTAGATGTTCTTTCCTGGCTGATGGGAGAAAAGAGCTGGGGCTGAGGCGAGTAAGTAATAAAACCTGAAGATAGTTCCAAATATATCAATTTGCATTCAATTATCCATTATTTTTGGAAGTTAGTTGTTTTTTTTTTAATAATAAGCAGTGAACAACTAAATAATTACAGTTTTGCATTGGCATTATAAAGACTGCAGATTATTTCTTGGTGTCAATGTCCAGTCCTGCTCGCTGTCCTCGACTCTTAGTAACATTCTTGCTCATTAACTTCAGGATGACCTCCAGGAATAAAGATACATTTGAAAGGGGCTGAAAATCGTTTTTAAATCCAACTTCCCTGGCTTAACAGTGAAATGACCACACAGTCCGGTCACTGGGTCAAAAATCAATTACAAATCAGAGGAGGTTTTGCATTAGCCTTAGTAAAAGACGGACTCGAAATCCACAACCAAGAAAAAAAGGCAACCATTAAAATGCAGGAAATACAGTATTGGCTTTTTCTCTTGGCGAGATAGGTCGGCTGCTTTCCAGCCCCGCTGTGGATGCTCTGAAGTTCACGGTTCGCTCCGTCGCTTCTGCCCAGACCCCCGCCCCCGTGGAAGCTGTCGTAGGGTAGCCCCGCAGCCAGGTCCGCACGAGGACGCCCCCTTCCTACCTTCAGGGGACAGCGTCCCTGGCCCCACCCTAGCCAGAGTCCGAGAGTCCCACCCCTTCGCCTCCTGCAGGCCCCAAGCCAAGTGGGGATGAGCCTGGGCCCCGTGTTCGCCCTGGCAGTTCCGCGTCTGCGCAGCGGACGTGGGGCTGGAGCGGGGCTGGCCGGGGAGGCGCAGGATGCGCGGGAGCCAATGGGCACGCTCGGGGGAGCCGGGCTGGCGGCGGCGGCCGGCGGGGCGCGCACTCTCGGGATGGAGGGCGAGTGCCGGGCACCTCAGGCGCGCTCCTCGGGCCTCCCGGCTGGGGGCGGCGGCGGGGAGAGCCCGGGGGGCGATGCCCCCCTCCCCGGCAGCAGCGGCTCCTCCGCCCTCCTGCAGGCCGAGGTGCTGGATCTGGACGAAGACGAGGACGACCTGGAGGTGTTCAGTAAGGTGAGGGCGGCGCGGCGGCTCGTCCCGGGAAAGTTCCAAGTCAACTCACGGAGTTGGCCCCGCCGTGCGGCGGCCGCCCCAGCGCGCTCGCTCGGCCCCGCTGGAGACTCGGAGCCGGGGCAGGGTGGGTCTCCCCCAACTGCCCGACCCCGCCTGGCGGCTCGCCGGCTCCGGGGCTGCGTCCCGGCGGGTCCCGAATAGCAGCCGCTCCCTCGTCTGCACTTTGACCTTATGTTTGGCAGGGCCTTGGCTTCGTGGAGTCTGCAAAGTTGTGCTGTTTCCCCCTTTTCTCCTCTTCCCTTCTTTGACGCGGACATTTCCAGTGACAGTGCCCGAACCCGGGAGGCGGTGGCCCAAAATTGCCCCCGCCCCTGGCAGCTTCTTTTCAGGCGCAGCGAGCCCTGAACTCTGGGAGCAAAATCATCCGAGTCTAGAGAAATTATTCTTGATTTAGTGTTGTTGCTGGTTGTGGATTGGAGACTTGGGTGGCGCCGGAGGTGAGTCTCAAGTCTAGTGGGAAGAGGCGTGAGGGAATCCCTCTTCAGGAGAAAACGGTTCTTGTGTCCAACGGGGAAGCTCCTGCGCTGCGGAGCTCAGGATTTTTCAGATAGTCAGCTCCTGCTACCCAACCCACAGACGGCGCTTTCGTTTTTAAAGGTTACCCGGGGAAATCTAGGACCAAAGGGCCCTCTGAACTTGTAGGATAGTTGGAGAGAAATTGACAAGGGTTACTGGCCGACTTGTGCGTGTAGGCTGGTGGTTGTAATATTTTTTTTTGGGGGGGGGGAAGAAAAATACCATTCTTGCGGGGCCGTTCAATGCCACTGCATCTTCTCTCGTTGCTGTTGGCAGAAGACTTGAGATGGGAACATTGTATTAATTACTAAGAAGCCTGTACAGTAGGTAAATGTTACCTTGAGCTGTTAAGAAAAGCCAACAAACTTCACCGCTGCTTTATTCTGGGAAAGAAGTTAGAAAGTGAACAAGCATACTCTGACCCCAAAGAGGAATATGTAAAACTCCCCTTTTTTTTCCTTCAGGATTAAATGAAATGGTAGGAACAGTTGTATTTGGGAGGTTCAGAGAGAGTATCAGTTTTGTACCCTTGATGAAGTCACTTGACCTTTCAATGTGTTTAAATTCTAAAATAATGGAATTGTTTACACTTTTATGTTCCACACATATTTTATGTTCAGATCAAGGACAATTGGCCAGTTCTTGTTTATATTGCCTTCTAAGATACCATTAGGCTATGGTATTAGTGTATGGGACTCTGCACTGTGAATCTTTGGGGGCAGGGGGTACGGGGAGAATGTAGGGAGTGGCAATTGCATATCAGAATCATCTGGGATGGTTTAAATTTGTCATGTGGTTTCTCTTTCCCCAGATTCTCAGTGTCCCAGCCTCAACTGAGAATCACTGTTTTAATGAGCCTCCGTAGTCAGAGGCGGATTTTAGGTGAAGTTAATGAAATTTAACTTTAATTTAAATTTAGCTGTGTTGTTGGCTTAGGCCTCTGTAAAATGTTGTAAGTTACTGGGAGTTGTACAGGTTCTAGGTGGAAAGGGAATGACAGGTTGTAGCCAGAAGCATTTCTAAGTTGGCGTTTCTGGTGAATTGCCTAAAGCTACCTCAGAAGAAAGGAATCTAGAACTCTATGGCTCCAACCAGTTGTTGAGATTTTTTTTCTCATTCTAAATAAAAAAATTGTTTTTCCACCTAATTTTGTGTTTGTAATTTTGTGTCCTGTTTGAAAAGGATGTAAGCTGCAGCACCACACTTAACCTCTGCTTTATTAAGCAGGGCATATAATAATGTGCAATATTGTATCTTTACCTTAATCTGTATGGCTGCTTTCTATAGAAGAGGGTCTTAACTTTTTCTAAGTGTCCAACACATGTAGTTATACAGCACTAGCAAGCAGGGTGGATCCAAGTGTATGGGCCTTGCCTGCTTCTATTTTAGCAAGTTGAATTTTTCAACCATTAACCACAGATAGACAAGCAAATTTAAGAAAGTTGTCTTCATTTGGCCTACTCTCTCTACTACTCCCTTTTTAGCCTGCGCCTCTGTAGAACCCTGCCACTGTCCAGCCTACCCTAAGATGTTATCAACCATTACTACCAAAGTGTACTAACTTTACCCTTTAGTACTTTGAGATTGACCATTTTCATATTCAGTTTATATTTACAATTGTAGTTTCTTATGTCCTTAGATTATTTATGAATATATATACCGTGCCCCTGTCCAGAAGCTCTTTCTTTTTCTCTTTTTTTAATGGAAATATAGTTGATATACTATATTATATTAGTTTCAGGTGTATGACATAGTGATTTGACATTTATATACATTATGAATTGATCACCATGATAAGTCTAGTAACCATCTGTCACCATTATAAAGTTACTGCAATATTATTGACTATATTCTCTACACTGTACATTACATACCTGTGACTTAGTTGTTTTATAACTGGAAGTTTGCACTTCTTAATCCTCCCAACCTATTTCTGCCTCCCTCCGCCAAACTACCAGTTTGTATCTATGAATTTTGCTTCTGTTTTGTTTGTTCATTTGTTCTGTTTTTTTAGATCCTAGAAATAAATGAAATCATAAAGTATTTGTCTTTTTCTGTTTGATTTATTTCACTTAGCATAATATCCTTTGGGTCCATCCATGTGGTTGCAGGTGGCAAGATTTTATTCTTTTTTACGGCTGAGTAATATTCAATTGTATACATATATACAACATCTCTTTGTCTATTCATCTATCAATGGACACTTAGGTTGCTTCCATATCTTGGCTGTTGTAAATAATGCTGCAGTGAACATAGGGTGCATACGTCTTTTCAAATTAGTGTTTTCACTTCTTCAAATAAATACTCAGAAGAGGGATTGCTGGATCATATGGCAGTTCTATACTTAATTTTTTGAGAAACTTTCATACTGTTTTCCATAGTGACTGTACCAATTTACATTCCCATCAGCAGCGCACAAGGGTTCCCTTTTCTCCACATTTTCACCAACACTTGTTTTTTGTTGTTCATTTGATAATAGCCATTTGGATAGGCTTGAGGTGATATCGTATTATGGTTTTGATTTGCATTTCCATAGTGATTAGTGATGTTGAGCATTCTTTTCATTTGTCTTCTGGCCATCTGTATGTCTTCCTTGGAAAATTATCTATTCAGTTCTTCTACCCATTTTTTAATTGGATTGTTTGTTCTTTTTTGTTTATTTTCTTTTTCGTGATTGTTATTTTATTGAGTTGTATGAGTTCTTTATATATTTTGGATATTAACACCCTTATCAGATGTATCACTTGCAAATAACTTGTCCCATTCAGTAGGTTGCCTTTTCATTTTGTTGATGGCTTTCAACTGTGCAGAAGCTTCTTAGTTTGATGTAGTCCAATTTGTTTAGTTTTGCTTTCGTTGCGCTTGCCTGAGGAGACATCCCCCAAAATATTGCTAAGACCGATATCAAAGAGCAACTGCTTTTGTTTTCTTTTAGGAGTTTATGGTTTCAGGTCTTACATTTAAGTCTTTAATCCATTTTGAGTTTACTTCTTTTTTTGGTATAAGAAAGTTGTCCAGTTTCATTCTTTTGCATGTAGCTGTCCAGTTTTCCCATCACCATCTATTGAACAGACTCTCTTTTCCCCACTATATATTCTTGGCCCCCTTTTCATAAATTAATTGACCATATAAGCATGGGTTTATTCCTGGGCTTTCTGTTCTTTTCCATTGATATATATGTCTGTTTTTGTGCCAGTACCATACTATTTTGATTACTATAGCTTTGTAGCATAGTTTGAAACCATGGAGCATGATACTTCCAGCTTTGTTCTTCTTTCTTAAGATTGAATTGCCTATTCAAGGTCTTTTGTGGTTCCATACAAATTTTAGGATTGTTTGTTCCAGTTCTGTGGAGAATGCCATTGGTATTTTGATAGGGCTTGCCCTGAACCTGTAGATTGCTTTGGATAGTATGGAAATTTTAACAATATTAATTCTTCCAACCCATGAGCATGGTATTGTCTTCAATTTCTTTGATCAGTGTCTTATACTTTTCAAAGTATAGTTCTTTCATTTCTTTGGTTAAATTTATTCCTACGTATTTTTTTTTGTAGTAATTGTAAGTGAAATTATCTTCTTAATTTCTCTGATAGCTCATTATTAGTATATAGAAACACAACAGATTTCTGTATGTTGATTTTTGTATCCTGCAACTTTAATGAGTTCATTTATTAGTTCTAATAGTTTTTTTTTTTGGCATCTTTAGGGTTCTCTATATATAGTATCCTGTCATCTACAAACAGTGATAGTTTTACTTCTTCCTTTTCAATTTGGAAGACTTTTACCTCTTTTTGTCTGATTGCTATGGCTAAGACTCTCAATACTGTGTTGAATAAGGGCAACCTTGTGTTGTTCTTGATCTTAGAGGAAAAGCTTTCAGTTTTTCACCACTGTATATGTTAGCTATGGCTTTGTTACGGCCTTTATTATGTTGAGGTATGTTCCCTCTATACCCACTTTGTTGAATTTTTATCATAAATGGATGTTAAATTTTATCACGTGCTTTTTCTGTATCTTTTGAGATGATTGTATGATTTTTATCCTTCATTTTGTTAATGTGGTTTATCAGTATACATTTGCAGGTCAGAAGCTTTTTAAAGAGTAGGCTCTTTGGCTTATAATTATTCCTTTTTTTCTCACAGTACATTACAAGTACCTGGTAAATACATGTTAAGTATTTTTGTGTAAGATTCTGTGCTAAGGATTCTTTGGAAAAAAGAAATGTAAGATTCAGTTCTTGTTATCACAGTCTTGGAGTCCGGTTGGAGGATGTGACAGAAACTCTAAATGACAGTATAAATCAAGAGAGATGGAAAGTAAAACAAAGTATTGTTCTGAGTTTTCAGATAATCCAGTTAAGAGAAAATGATGCCAACTCTCAATAGAGCACAGGGAATGCAGAGGATATTGACTTAAAAGAACAA